TATTACATCATCAACTCAGAGTCCAAAATCTCATCCCAAACTCATCAGCTCAAAGGTCTCAAATCCAGTAAACCAGATCTAGGTCAGAGTCTGAGCATGATCCATAATGGAGGAAAACTCTCTTTTGACCTGTGAAACTAGAAAACAATTTATCTTATTTCAAAACACAGTGGTGCCACAGGCATAGGAAACTGCCCATAGACATTTCCATTTAAAAGGGAGAAAGTAGGAGAAAAACAGGCGTTACTAGTCCCAGCAATTTTGAGATCCAGCTAACCAAATAATAGTTTTCAAGGCCTGGGAATAATTCTCTGTGGTTCTCAGCTTCATTCTCCGGGTCCATGGCTCTTCTCCTCTAGGTTCCTACCCCTGCCCTTTGAATTATCCTTCCCTTTTTTTTTCATGAAGAGTAGCATATTTTTGCAGCTGAATATTCTTGTTGGATTGTATAGGGTTGTATAGGGTTTCTGTACAATTTCTAGGAATGTATACAAACCCTATGTTTCTAGGATTTTGAGGATTATATAGAGTTTTTCCAATAGTCCTTTTCATTTTGTGTTCTCCCTGTCCCTTTCAGTCCAGCCTGGAAGTTTCTACTGTTATAATATTTTGAAGAACCTTGTTGGTCTCCCATATATGTCTTGAGGATTCACTCCATTGGACAAAAGGTTCCTCTACAGATCTTTTCTGGATCGTCCCTTCTCCACTCATGTCTTCTGCTGAAGTAGCTGAGAGGATCCATGAGTTACATGCCCAGTCTCCTCAAAGAGTGCTCCATGTGTCTAAATACTTGAATACTCTGACCTTTTGGCCTTTCTGAGGCCTGAGCAAAAGGTTATCCAGTGGCATCCTTAGCTTTCTTTCCAGAGCATAATCTCTGGGCCATGAGTCTCTTAATTTCAGTGTCTCTTCTAATCTGGATCAGCTGAGAATTTCCCAAGTCATCAAGTCCTTCTTTTTGCTTAATGGTTCTCCCTTCAATCTATCTCTTTTACCATGAGCAGCAGCAAAGAGAAATCAGGTCCCATCTGTAGGACTTTTGAAATCTCTTCAGTTAATATTCACATTCATCACTTAACTAGAGGACACCACTTTGCCAAGTTTTCTGCCATTATAAATCAAGGATTTATAATACCATGTTCCACATTTCCTTCTGAGCCCTCACCTGCAGCACTGTTGGGATCCATATTTCTACCAACAGGCTATTCAAGGAAATCTACCTTTTTTTACCTATCATGCTCCTTAAAATTCTTTCAGCTTCTGCCCATTGTTCAATTCCAGTGCCAGCTGCACATTTTTTTTTCTTTTGTAGCAGCATCTCACGTCACTACTTCATGGTACCAAAATCTGTACTAGTTTCCAAAACTAACTATAGTGAGTTTAGTGGCTTAAAACAACGTATTATCTTATAGTTATGGAAGTCAATCCAGGGATTAGGATGTGGGTGTCTTTGGAGGGGAAATTATTTTGCCTACTACAGGTTTCTCATAAGGGTCTGCTGGAAGCTCCAAGATTTCTCTTCTGTTAGCACCTTCTTTGAAGCTCATAGGCTTCCATAGTCCAGAGGGAAAAGAGGTTTCTCTTGGAATTACCCTCATGAAAAGCAAAAAGCTTCTCATTTCTAGAAGTCCCAGAAAATGTCTCCATTTGACCTGATTAGCTGATGGATTCAGCTCTTTGTCACCATGATCAGAAAAATATGCTACTCTCCATGTCTAAAGGGATTCAGGGTCTAGTATTTGAGAATATGGAGGAGTCTCACCTTCAGCACAAGGTGAGACTTGTTACCAAAATAAGGAATCAAAAAGTCTGACGGGAAAAAAGTCAACTGAAATACATCCCTTCACCCTATGTCTCTAAATTAGCAAAAGACAGTGACCATATCTTCTTTCTTTTAAGTTTATTTATTTATTTTGAGAGGGAGAGAGAGACAGAGACAGAGAGTGAAATCTGGGAAAGGTCAGAGAGAGAGGGAGAGAGAAAATCCCATGCAGGCAGTACATCAGTGTGGAGCCCACAAACAGTAAGATCACGATCTGAGCTGAAACCAAGAGTCAGATGCTCAACCAACTAAGCCACCCAAGAGCCTGCATATCTTCTTTATAGTTATATATTCCATATAGGTATTTCATAGCCCAAATACCTAGTATAATAATTAGCATTCTTTAATAACTAACCTAAATGTTAAATTTTGATTGCAGTGTAGTCAGATTCATAGCCTAACATGTACCATTTGACTAAATGTTTGTGTCTTTGCAAATAAATTTCTAAAACTTGTTATAGAAAGTATCTTTTAAAGTTAGATTATGATATTAGGAGATGGATAGAAATTGACTAAGATAATTATCTGAATTAAGGTAGGACAAGAGATGTAGTTCCATAATGAGGATCTTAAAAAGAATTAAATATCCTGAATTTGACTCATCCTCCTGGGATAATCTCAGAAAACCAATGTTCCTAATGCTCTGTTTCCCAAACACACACACACACACACACACACACACACACACACATACATAACTTAGGGTCCAGGTGGTTTGAAGAAATGCTAATATTGATTAATTTGCCTTCAGAACTGAGAAGTGTGCCTGGTTTCCCGTATGTTTTATTACAAGATTAAACCCCAGAAGAGGAACGCAAAGCACCAAATGTCATATAGACTATGTGGAAAGCATTAATTATACTAAACTATTTCCTGTGGCTCCCATTTCTTTCCTCTTCCTGACTGATCTTCCGGTTTCCTTTCTTCCTGATAAGGAAGCTAAGTGGGAAATGGGCCTGGCACTTCTAAGAGGAGCAATGAGAAAGTGTTATGTCTCCCAAGTATAAGTCACTGTGCTATGAATCAGAGAATATTGAAGTGTTTCTGAGAGGAGATCCTGAAATCAAGCTGGAGTCATCTTTTTAAGGAGAAGGAGGGCATACTGGGAACCTGAGTATAAGCAACTGTCAGAAGCTAGTTGTAGAACCAAATGAGTATTTAAGAGGAAGAGAAGCTTATTGGCTAGTGGCCAAATGGCTTTGGCTACTCAGGGTACCAGAGTCAAGGACTGTAGCTAAGAGCAAGTTAATCATTAGTCATACTGTATTAGACTGAGTGGTGTCCATTTAAATGGATTTGAACAGTAATGATTATTTTTCTTTCCTACACGCCTACTCTTTGCATATATACTTTTACTGATGAGGAGAACAGAGAACTTAATGACTATCTCAGGAAGGGATTGCAAGACTCTCCTAATGCCATACTTCCTAATCCAGTGGATCTTTCTGTCATTTTAGCAGGGGGCATGCTTGAGTTCATTTTGTGCATGTAATGAAAGCTAAAGATTACCTCCTCATGAAAAAAGAGCATGTGCACAGAAATCCATCATTTTTCATAAAATTTCAGGATAGTCTTGAGCTCCCTGAATTTTGTCAGCAGGGACTCCCCAGAAAGATCCATGGACCCAGTTAAGGATTCTTGCTCTAAACCCTGAGCGTGCACCTATACAGACCTCATCCCCTGATAAAGGAAGCTTTGAGTGTTTTGAGAAAACTTGGGATTCACAGGGAATTCCATTCCGTTCTAAAAATCCTCACTATCTCAGAAGGTTTCAATTTGGAGATCACAAGTACTTATCTTTTTTTTTTTTTTAATTTTTTTTTCAACGTTTATTTATTTTTGGGACAGAGAGAGACAGAGCATGAACGGGGGAGGGGCAGAGAGAGAGGAAGACACAGAATCGGAAACAGGCTCCAGGCTCTGAGCCATCAGCCCAGAGCCTGACGCGGGGCTTGAACTCACGGACCGCGAGATCGTGACCTGGCTGAAGTCGGACGCCTAACCGACTGCGCCACCCAGGCGCCCCACAAGTACTTATCTTAACTTTTCCCAGGCAGGAAGGGACAGATATGGCTAATGGTCTATAAATACTATGGTCCAGTTCTAGTATCACGGGACTTTTCCTGGTAATGATTTTATCCTGTAATTTTCAAGTCTGCCCTCCCGCACTTCTTTTAAAATAGATACTCATATTTTTTTTTCTTCTCAAACTCATGAGTTGGAGAGTGTAGGGAAGAGAGAGAAAGAAGAAGTAGTATAACAGAGTGAAGGGTGGAGATAACCTGCATCTGGACACCCCCTTAGAAGAACTTTTACCAGAGTGGCATTTCTATTCATCATCTTTCCTGGCCAAGTTCATTCATTTGTAAGTTCCCTTATTCAGCAAAAACATATTAGCGTGTGTAGTATTATAAGTCCTACACGAGGTCCGTGAGGAGCACAAAGATGAATGACATACAAACTCTCCTCTCAAAGGAGCTTGAGTTCCTGCAATGGAGATAAGATATGCAAAGAAAGTCTGTTTAAAACGATTTTCTGAAAGGGCTTCACTGTTCTCTCTCCCTAACAGAGCATCTCCTCATTAGATGGACCATCATATTTATCATGATTTTTAAAAGTATCCATTTGTGCCTCTCTTCCAACAGATCACAAACCCCTTAAGGATAGAGACTGGGTCTTATTAAACATCATATCTATATTTCATGGGAGCTAATAGGGCACCGGGAACATAGCAATGCTTTAAGAATTGTTGAGTGAAGCACTGAATCAAATCATGTCCGGAGAAGAGAACACAGACTAAATCAGATGTCTTACGAAGAGGACCCTAACCTGCTGTGTCAGGAAATAGTGGTCTGCATTTGTCCTGTGTGTTTCTGGACATAGGTTTCCCATCTGTCCTAGAAGGGAGTCGGATTAGGCGATTCTTTCCAGATGAAAATTTCTATTTTAAATAATGCTGAAAGCAGAAAAGGAAATGCCCTGGCCCTCTGACCCAGTTTAAACACCTGTCTTGGTTTTACAGTCAAATAACAATCATTTCCCAAAGGTTGAGTGTCAAAAGGGATAGCTGAAAAACCCCAGACACTCAGAATATTCGCCGGCTCCATTGACAAAAGTGACTTCCCACGCTTTGCCCACAGAGGGCATCCCTGCTCATTGATATGTAGACCAGGCAAAGGCAGCTGCTGGAAGCCTCCTCCGACCGCTCTTTTTTCCCTTCACCGTCATCTCTCTGCCCCCACCCCCTTCCCGTGGAGTCTTTGCCTGATCCAGTGCGTTTCCCTCCAGTCTCCACATTTTCCCTTCCAGCCCTCCACTTCTCTGGATCAATGGATAGTACGGCTCCAACTCCCACCTCACACACCGCTGGCGGACACCCCAGTAACAAGTGAGAGCGCTCCACCCCGCAGACCCCTGCCTCTCCTCCCCGGGTCCCCTCGGCTCTTGGAGGAAAAACAAACAGCATCCCCAGATCTCCTGCGGATTTTTCTTTTTCAACTTTATCCAGCCTTGGACAGGGAACCAGCCTCGACCTTTTAATGCACAGCCCCGCCACAGGATTGCTTTCTATCTCCTCTTGGTCCCTTCTGGATATTTTCTTTATTGATGACTCAAGAACCCCGTGGAGAGCGGTTTTCCCTCTTCTTCCTCCCTCTGTCTCCTTGAGTTAGTTTTCTAAGGTTTTACCGGAGCTTGGCATCTCTTGGACCGAATGGAACTTTTCGCTGCCTCCTTTTGCTGCTGATTCTGTCAGTGGACGAGCAAAGAGGCAGAAGAGGCACAGGGGAGGTGGAGAAAGAGGTGGAGGAAGAGGACGAGGAGGAGGAGGAGGAAGCCGAAGGGGCTCGGCGCGTGTGTGTGCATGTGTGCATGCGTGTGTGAGTGCATGTGTGTGAGTGCCGCCACTGCCCAGGACCTCTGGCCCCGAAGGTGTTGGCTGAAATATGGAGAATAGTCTTGGATGTGTTTGGGTACCCAAGCTGGCTTTTGTACTCTTCGGAGCTTCCCTGCTCAGCGCACATCTTCAAGTCACCGGTAAGAGGTTCTTTCCTTTATTCTCCTCCACTGCCCCCCATGCCCCCTTTCCTTATTTCATCTGGGGAGTATTAGAATTGGGGTAGTGGAAGAAAGAGCAAGATAATCTGTGCTCGCTCTCCTCCCCATTTCCTCACAGATGATAAAAGACTGGAAGACTCCCCCACCCCGGGGGGGGGGGAGCGGAGGATGTTGGCGATTGGGAAGAGGGGTGCCCCTTTGCTCTTTTAAATCTGGTGCTTCTTGCATCTTTCGTTTTGCAAATACTTGAGTTGTTTTGGAGAGCTGACTGGCTGGGGCAGGGAGGAGGCAGGCGATGGGGATGTCGTTGAAAGGAATTGGGTTGGATCCTTAAAGCCTTGGAAACCTACCAAGAAGGAGAATTGGGGCAACAGGACCAAGTAGGGGAGGTCGTGGGGGGTGCTGTGAGGAAGTCAGTGTGGAATGTAGATGGTGGGGCTGAGAATGTGCTTCTGTGTGACTCAGGTTTGGATTTTCAGCCCTGGTGATTAAGAACTGAGAAGGGGACAGCTAATGTGTTTGGGCACTTTGGAGGAAAGGACGGTGGTGCCCAAAGAGGAACGGAGTTGCCAGGAGGAGGGAGGCATGTTTTATTTTATTGTATTTTATTTTAACGGTGAATGCAGTTAGCAAGCTAAGTCTCCATATATCTCCAGGATACTTCCAAACTCCAAATAATTGATATTCTGGGGAACCAGCCCCCTGGCCCTGACATTTGGCAAGCACAGTTTCTAATTAAAAATGTCAAAACTGTTTGGGGATTGGATTGGGTTCTAGCAGGGAGGGATGCTCAGGGCTGCTGCAGTCTCCTAAAAGGGAGCTGGGGGCTTCCATGGCCAGAAAAAAAAGAGCAAAATGACTCATTATGATGTCCATTCTTTTTGTCGGGCCTCACCACAAGTGTAGATAGGCACTGGGGTACAGGAGATGGACTCGCAGAGAAGGAGGGGAGAGCAGCCGGTGAGCATTCAAATCCCTTTGGAAACCACCTTTTCCCTTTTCTTTATCAAAAAGGAAAGGAGCCTCAGGCTGGGGCCAGGCGTCCAGTAAGAGCCCTCAACCCACGCCTTGGAAATTAACCCGGAATGTAATGTAAATCACAGCAAAGCCCCCTGCCTCCCTGGAGCCTGCAGCTCCAGCTTTCTTGTTCCTGCTAAGCGCTGCCAGGCCCAGGGTTGCGAACCCAGTGGTGAATGCGCCTCTCCCGTCGGCTAGGGATTCAGTCAAGCACGGGGCCAGCTGAACGCTCCCCAAATCCTGGCTCTGCCACACTCAAGCAGGAATCTGCGCAACCTCACCAACCGGACTCCTCACCTTCCTTTGGCCTGACAGAAGGAGCCGAGCGAGAGTGAGGAGTGTGTGTGTGCGCCTGTGTGTGTGTGTGGGGGGGGGGGGGGGGGGGGGGCTGCGGGGAGGGGGGTTGGCCAGACAGAGTGAGCAAGCGCGAGGGGTGAGTGTGTGTGTGTGTACACGCAGGGGTGAGTGTGTGTGTGTGTGTGTGTGTGTGTGTGTGTGTGTGTACGCGCGCGCACGCTCACAGCCGCATCTGCCGACAGGCAGCCCGCGCGCTCCCTCCCTTCCTCCCTCTAGGCCGGTCCCCTCCTCCCTAGCTCCTCTCTCCCAGCTCCCAGAGCTTTGTCCTCAGCAATTACTCCCTCTGAAGGTGGGGGGGGGGGGGCATCTCGCTGTAATGAATAGGTGTCTTTTTAAAATTCCCTCCTCACTAGACGCTAGAGGCTGCTGCAGGAGGACCCTTGTGCACAGAAGACAAGAGTTGCGCTCTCGCAGGCAGTTTGGGACGCCCCCACAGAAGGAGAGGGGAAGTTTAGAGGGGTCATCCTTCCTGGATGGAAAGTCTGCCAGGCTGGGCCTGAAATGCCTTGGCTGAAAACATTGCATTAGACAAAGGTGTGCAAAAATGGACAATGACGTTTTGTCAGTTACACTAAAATATTGTAAAGCCATTACCCAAGTGACTTTGGCAAGGGTGGGGATAAATGAATAGAGATTTGTATATGTTTTACGAAGATTTAAATTAGTTAAATATTCCCTTCCCATTTATTGAAGTTTCTTATATAGAGAGTTGGGGCTGTACAGTATTACTGCTTTATTTTAATTTCAACCTCACTTCAACAGACAAGTCTATGCTTGCAAAGGCAGACAAAAATATACATATACAAAGGGATATGCCTGTGGATAGGTTTGCAGGTCTAAATCTTTAAGCTGTTCTGTACTTCTAAATTGTTGCTGTTATGTACAAATGAATTGTGATGCGTTTTGCTCATGCCCCAGGAAAGTAGATGGTACAGTTTTGGGATATTGCTAATTCACATCACTCTGGTCTTTGCTCCTTAGTCTGTTTCTCCTCTTTCTCTTAGTAGCAGTTTCCCCTCTTCAGGAACATAGAAGGGAATTAATGCTGAAGAAAGCACAGTTCACTCCATGAAAGGACCAGTAGGAGGTGCCCTTAATAAGGCCAAATGTCTAGTTTACTGATAAGTGAAATTCTCATTCAGCAGGATGTTTCAAAGACTTTGTTGATTAGTAACAAAGGATTATGGAGACTAGCACAATAGCCCTGGATATTTTCCCACTTCCTAGATAGAGTCCGAAACTGCTGTAGATATTATGAAATTACTGTGACATAACAAAGGGCATCTCTGAACAGTATTGGCATAGGATGGGGACGAGGTGCCGGAGGAGGGTGGTGGCTTTTCACGTGGCTTTTGTAAGATGCCACCTCCTTATATATTTGACTTGAGCCACAAGCAGAGGTACTAAGGAGAGTCTTGGAACCTCAGATGAGATGAAAACTTTAGATGCTTGATGTTAATGAATGCAATAGCATATATACATGTTAATTAATTTTTCATATTTATGTTTGCGTTACATTCCATTGAAAACAATTTATGAAAGTCTATATAGTTTGGACATGATGAAATGAGGCTTTGCTGCCTCCAGTATCAACCCTTCTAATCCTCCAACCATAGCAGATCAGATGCCCGCATCTAGGTTTGCTGTTGAGTGAAGCATGACAGCACCTGAGGGTGCCTGAATGGCCTGGGTGTCCACTCTTCTGTGAGTGTGGCGGTATAAATCGCCAGCAACATGTCATAGCTTCCATTTTCAACACAGCAGCCGTTACCCTCTGAGTTATGAAGCATGTGAAACAGCCACCACATGTGTTATATGTGAATATATTAGGCTTAGTGCATTTGCTTTAATGCTCTTAAAAGCTGGGCTGGCTTGAGCTGCTGATAGGCATTTTTTTCTGAGGAGAGATTTATAACTTCTCAGTGTGTATGACTTACATTTATTCTTTGGCAAGTTAACCTCTCAGCAAACTTCCTTATTGTTTTCATTGAAGAGGAAGAGCCTTAATCCTATCTAAATTCCTGAATGAAGCCCTGCTGAAAGTTTCTTGGGGAGTATAGCGTATTTGCAGGCTATAGTATGGTTTTCTCAGAAATGGGACACTTGGACAAGAGATTTGGGGAGGTAACTTTTGGGTGGAAGGGGGTATTTTTAATTTCTGGAGTGGGAATGAATGACACTGCATATTTCAGGGGAATCCCAGCACTCTATTCTCCAAAACATCTTTTATGAGAAGGATTTTTTTTCCTCTCTGGCTTGCGTTTCTGCTTTCATGCATCCAATAATCTAAGATTTCCAAATGCATGTGATTTGCTCCTAGAATGTTTTCCACTGCGCACACCAGGGTCATCTGGTACCATCTCCCTCCTTTGGAAACAAGCCCTGATTTAAACCTTGAGGTCTCAACCAAAACACTTCTTATCTTTTGGTGGTGCCACATGTTTACAGGCAGTGCTGACGTTTCTGAACAGCATATTTCTTTCCAAGGCAGACTGGGTCCCGAGATTATATTTTAAGGCAAATATGCTTTGGAAGATGTGCCACCGTAAACTTTGCATGTCAGACTTTCTCCTCATGCTTCTACCGGCCAGGGTAACTCTGTTAGAAAAGAGTGTAGTAGTTTCTGGCATTTTCTTAAAGTAAAACACGATCATACATACACAAAGAGAAGGGGATTTCTAACTTCCATATGCCTCCTTTTTAGATGTGTGACGTTAGGCTGAATTAAAATAGCGCTAATTACATAAAGACACTTCTGGAAACCACTGTGATTTCCCTAGCGAGTGAGCTCTTCTTACCTGGTTATATAGATCTTCCCGCTTTTGGTATATATGGCCCGTATCACTCTCAGGAACTTGCATCAAGTTAGGAACACATTGCTTTGTTGTGGTGTTTGTTTCACAGCTACTAGCTCAAATGATACATTTTTGAGGATTAATCTACCTCATATGATAATCTCTTAGATGAGCTATATACGTAAATTTCAGGAAATCTTAGTTTGCCTATATAAAAAGAATAATGGCATAAGCTCAGTGAGAATTATTTGACTAATTAAAGATAAGTCACTTGGTTCTGGAAACATACTGTAATCCCTAATGTAGATTGATAAATACTATATGCCTTTACAATTCATAAAATGTAAACGTGGGATCTTCTCTTTTATTCTCCCTGTTTTTTCATTTTGATGCTCCAGAGGAGGATTAAGAGTTTCATGAATTGTCACAACAGTTATGCCTTAATGAGTCATAGCCTGGGATCTCACTAGCTCTTGATTGAAACACACTGAATTAAATATGAATGTACTGCCTGGCCACTTGCTCTCCATGCTGCCTGCTAGTGGGCCCCTTGCTTCTCTCCAGCCTGTCTGTAAGAATCCTAGTTCTCCTCTTGCAACTGTAAGGCATCAATACTGCCTCTCTTGCTTCAACTCAGGAGAACCTTTGTTACCATGAATCGAGGCCCCAGATCCACAGGCACGGTGCTTAACATGCTGTATTATACTTTGCAAGGTCATGAGGATTGCCTTCAAAACGAATTTTTAAATTTTCACGAGTGTTTCTTTTAGTGGAGAGTTAAGCTGTACTCTGAAGACAGCTAAGTAGTGC